GAGATGTAAGAAATGAAAACAGCCAAGTTCATAGCGAAGCGAACTCAATAATTGTATTTTAGGTCTTTGAAGCTTGAAAATTACAAATATAATGTTCACTTTTTTATATAATAAATGATATTATATTTAATATATCTCATGAAATGTTATGTAATTGGCACTTAGTTGTATGTGTAAAAATTGCAAAAGCAGAATCTAAAAGGCCAATTAAATTCCATCGAAACATGAAATAGACACAGTTTATGTTAAAATAAAGACCTGTCAAGCGGAGTGATGCGAACAACTTTATTAAAAATGATAATTACATTTTCATCTTCCAGGTGACAGACCTACTTCTGGAGTCTTATTTAAAGGGCTACTCTCGATTATATTTTGGAAAATAAAACTGCTTAATTTTGTGTTAAAAATCCCTTAAAATCCTCTACCTTAGGGCCGAGCAACTAACTTAATACACGTGATACGTTTTCAAACAACCTAAACCCGTTAGTCGTCATCTGGAAACGGATACCGTTATCCCAAGCACTATTACATGTATATTGTGTCTGGATAAAACCAGACTTTTATTTTATAAAAATAACGTGTAGGTGAAATATATCTTTCGTTAGTACAGCACGTGGGTCATGCTATAGACCTATAAAGGAACGGCAATAGATTACCAATCTTAAAAGGGTTACGTGTCCGGATAAGCGGTTTTGACATTGACATCAAAATGACTCAATATTGCGAACTGAAATTTTTAGACAAGATAAATACACCTTTTGGAGGTTAAATTTCATACGTACTCTGTTAAAATCTGGCACGGTCCCTTTAAATAGAAAATATTGCAAGTTGACAAATAATGATGAATTCGGATGTTAAGTGTAGGATAAAGCATGAGACCGGGGTTATGCTGGGGAAAGAAAGACTGAATAAAATAACCCGAGAAAAAGAAAAACCGAGGCCGGCAGGCCGAGGGTTTTCTGTCGATGGTTTTTTTCTGAAGATTTTCTTCCCCAGCATAACCGAAGTCGAGGACTTTATCTTGCTTATAAACCGTCTATGTTTACATGTACACAAAATGAGAATATGCCAGAATTCCCATAAGAAAAACCTTAGATCATGTTTTCTTATGGAGAAAAAAAACCTACCCTGGAAGAATAACCTGTTACAGGTTTAAAGAAAAACTTTCAGAAGAATAACCCCAAATTCCCCTCGACTTTCAGACCTCAAGTTATTCAGGGCATAGAATATACCCCAAAGATCAAAGTGATTTACCGTTACAGGTTTATAATCCGAGAGAATTTTCTATTGTAGTGAAGACAATTACACCTTTGCACCTCCCCATTGTGAACTTAACTAGGTCGCTTCTGGGAAATGTGACGGATAACAACTACTGAAATTCACTGTCCCAATACTAAACATTTCTACAATACTAAAAATTTCATACTCTAATTGACTTGGATGTCTTTTTACACCGACTCGCGTTTTCTTCTGCTTACACCCTACTGATCCCTTTGAACCCCAGGTTGGGAAACGCAGTTCTCAAATACAATGTCATGTTTTTGTAATCTGCTTCCTGTAACTGGGTCCTTTCGTCAATGATAAACAAAAACTCTTTAATCAATGATTATAAGAAATCAGTGATTTAAATGTTTGATTTACAATCAAATTTTAAAACTTGATTTTAATCGTTGATGAAGAGAAATTCTAGTCTTAGATTAGCTAATCTGACTTTTGAGAATGCCAAACTTAGTCATTTACTAATCTGTAATTAGCTTACTGATTAAACCTAATCACAGATTTCTTTAGACACTGTTTGAAAGTATGGAATGACTGTTTGTGGAATCCTGCTCCACTCTCCGGAAATTTTGCAGTCGGTGATATTCTGAGAGTCGACTTCCAATAATGTAAAATAGATTCTCAATTGGCGAGAGGTAAGGATAAAGGGCTGGTCATTCGAGCACTGCCATACTGTCTTTGGTTAAAAAAATCCATAGAGCCGCGTACGGTTCGTGCTCGGGCATTATCACTATAATGTGTACAGATCTTGGTGACTTTGAGTCAGAATTGGCCAAACTTATAAGGGAGTCGGAAACGAATATTGCCAGCAATAAACCGGTGCGTGGACCTCTTTAAGTATCAGCAGCAATATCGGAAGCGGACAGTCGGAAACGAATATTGCCAGCAATGAACCGGTGCGTGGACCTCTTTAAGTATCAGCAGCAATATCGGAAGCCGACAGCGTCTGATGCTGTCGGATAATGTGTCGATCTTGTCCAAGCTGTCACGCGTTGCCAATCTCTTGTGGACCATATGAACTGGAACAATCGACCAGTCTCAGTATAGTTGTGTTGTGGCATCTGGCGACGCTAGAATTAATTAAGTAGCGCGTTCTCAGTGTTCAGGTGTCAACCACGTATTTATGCTGATATACGAAACCGAAGATTAGATTTGTCCCCGTTAGATAAAGTGGGTTAAAATACTGCAGTCATAACTTCCAAATTAAATTTATGTGAAGACAAATGGGCTCCGGTTATTGTTATTATTTCTTAAAGGTACATATACTATCCCACTTTCCACATGACATGGATTGACTGTCAAGGTATGCAGATCAATGGGCCCAATTGAATTAATATCCTATGCAAGACTACCTTGCCTGGATGTCTGGGTTTAAAATATCGATACACTCAGAACACCGGAAATTATATTGTACACCAGATAACCATAACATATCAGTTTAAATAATAAACTTAAATCACTTTTGGATGGTCAGATTTAGTTTGGTATTTTGTTTGAGGGAGGGGGGGGGGTGTTTTTGGTGAATCACGGTAGTTACAGGAAGAGAGGAATACCGCGAAGTGACCATTAGCAATATCCTATACGCATTATATAACTGATCGTATGGTGGATTAACACAGGTAACAGTGTGATTAATTTTGGTTTGAAAGTGCTAAAATAGTATAGCTTTATTTTTATTAATTTGTAAAATTTATCTTTATGTATATTGTACATGGGAACACTACTTTAAGTGTTCTGGCCGACGTATTTCGTGGATGAGATTACGTTTTCAACCTTTGGTAGGCCGATGTCTGTTAACAATCGACTGGGCCTTGTTAAAAATCGTTCCTGAGACACTTGTTGGTTGATTTCTGCTGGTTAAATATCGTCTGTGAGACACTGAGTGAATGATTTCTTGGTTAAATATCATCTGTGAGAAATCAGTTAATGAATTTCCGGTTAAACATCATCTGTGAGACACTGCGAGAAAACGGCAAGTGGAGCAATTTATTTCGGATTGATTGGTAGTCAATCAGTGATGAGTTTCTAGCAAACCACCAACGTTGTGATTTTGATTGGATTGATTTCTTACTGATCATCATCTGTGAAAGGAGTAGTTCTTTGGAAAGTTTAGGAAATTTTGACAATGAATGATCTGAGTTATGTAGGTGTCGATGAAGTATTGGAGAGTCTTGGTAGTTATGGAAAATATCAAATAATCCATTTTTTCTTATCAACTCTGACATTTTTCTCTGAAGCTTATCAACAGTTTAGTATTGTCTTTATAGGTAAGTCTAGAAACATAATAATAATATACAATATCAGGATTTATAAAGCGCATCATTATTACTCATTTAGTTTCTAATGCGTTTTGTAATATTTCCTAGCTGGTCACATAAAACTTTTTTGAAAAATATTGGTTTTCAATGCTGACTTGAATGCTTCGATAGATTTGGATTGGCTAATTTTAGTTAGTAATTGATTCCAGAGACATGGTGCTGCAAACGCAAAAGATCTTTTCCGAATTCGAGCTGTTGTACTTGTCTTTTATTAAGAAGAATGTAGTCCTCTGGCGGATTCATAGTGTTTAAGCATTTCTTTCATAATTTTCATAATGACATTTTGTCATTAAGTCATTTAGTCATTTATATGTAACGAGTACGATTTTAAAAGAACAAGTGTTACATGCTCGTGTGTGCCACTTTTGGTTCAGAGTCTTGCATCTGAGTTCTGTACATGTTGAAGTTTCTGGATTTTGATAGTCTGGTATTATGTAGAGTAGTGCATTGTGGTAGTCCAATTCTGATGATATAAAGGCATGAATGAGCCTCTGTATTTTAAAGGGAGGAGTACGGTTTAACCTGGCGTATTCTGTGGAGATGATAAACTGTTGAGCAAACGGATTGGATGCGTTTTTGGAGTTGAAATTTGAATCCAACTTCGCTCCAATGTTTTTGGCTCATGCTCATGGTTGGGTGCTCTGTTTGTCAAAGTCCAACTGTAGTGATTTGTGCCGATTACAAGGAATTCCGTTTTTTTGGGTAGGGGTCAGGAAGTGCATGGTCATCCACTGGTGTAATTCTTCTTTTACTTCCATTCCATGTATAGTTGCGAGTCATCGACAAATAAATGTGCATATAATCCACTGACCGATGAAAAGGAATCCAGAGTTGAGGTTGATATGACAGTCTCGTCTTCGACATTTTCGGCTATAGTTCTTTGTTTTAGAATTATATCGAGTCCTCTCAGCTTTTCTTCGGATTTTTCTAGCGCCTTTAAGCTCATCATTGAACCATGGACGATGAAACTCAATAAACCGGTCAAAAAGTAAAACAGGCGTGGACAGAAATGCACAATATCCTACAGTTTGGTCATTTCCACTAAAAAAATATAGGTTAAAACCTATTTTCCCCAAGCCAAAGCATCTCCACGTTGGCTAGAAGCAGGAGTCTGTCGGGTCAGTTGAATTCACCTATTCATAAATACCAGCATAACAGTACATTGCATAGCAATGCTGTGCTCGAGGTATATTTCACTAGTTGGATAGATATTGTGTTCTCTCTGAATATATATGCTTTATTTGTGTTCTTTAAGGTCAAGGCAACCCACAGAGATGTGCAGCTCCGCTATCGCTGCCTCTCAATCAAACTGGAGACGTATTTGGTGAATGTTCTATTTCACATCAGAATCAAACTAACGTCAGTTCCTGTATCTATGGTTACCAGTATCAATATCCATCTAATATGTCTATTATCTCTGATGTAAGCTTAAAAAGAGTGGTTCAAGGTATCCTTTATTTCACGGGAGAAGGGTATAAATTTGTTATGCTTCATAGGCCTATAGATTTGCGACCTTTTAATAGAAAAAAACAGGATGGGATCAAATCCAGAAATGGGTGTAAGTGGTGTCTCATTGGGTAACTTTGTCTTTTCGCCCTCTGATTAGTGACTAGACTTTTGTTTTAAAAATCAATAATATATTTCTTCCGCCGTATCGTTGATCCTCGTTCACATGTGATTGACTCCGTAGTATACACATCAACAAATTTCTTTTTTGGAAAAAGACCCACAGATGCCCTATAAACCAATTAGTATAGCGAAGTCGTCAGCGCATTGAACCAACGAAAATGAATCCTTTCCAAAACGTCAGTCAGGTAGAAAGTCATCCTAAAAGAGAAGCAGCTCCATCCTATCGGCCCAGTCCCACTGAAGAGGGGGTCATTTATGTTTTATGATTTCAGTTTGATTTAGTGTGTGAACGATCTGGTTTATCTGATCTTTCACAAACCATGTTGAATTTTGGAATGGCAATTGGATCATCAACCCTCACTCTGGCATCGGACAAATACGGACGGAAGCCAGTCTCTGTTCTCAGTCACCTGGTCGTTCTAGCAACAGGGCTTGGGGTTGCATTTTCCCCTAATTATACAGTACTTATTGTCATGAGATTTCTAAATGGTATAGTTATACAGGTAATCTTTTTATAGATCAATTTCTGTGAGTGAGTTAACTCCATTGATTGGATTTATCTCACGTGTTTCTAGGGAATTAATCATTTAGAATGTACAGCTAGAGCGCGATGTTAATCAAGAATTATGTTAAGTAAGAAGTCTAGTAGAAAACAATAACTGAATTGTAAGGGAAGGTCATTTTTCAACAATTATATGCCGAATGCGAAATGACTATACTATTGGCACTTTTGAGGTTGTTAGATTGCCCTTTTTCGTGATTTTGTTCATGTTTCTTTACTTTTGTTGGGGAGGGGATGTGTCGCCTTTCTTACCAAGTAATCTAAGGCATTTTGTCTCAAAATCCATGTCTTGTTCATTCCCAATTTCCAGGGCACCATTTTGTCAGCAGTGACTTATGGCGTAGAGATGTTCCCGAAAGAAAAGCGTCGTTTTTGTGGAGTATTTACGTTTATAGTTTGGAGTATTTGTATGATGACTATAAGTCCAATAGCTTACCTAACTCGTCAGTACAGTTGGAGAATAGTTTATCTTTCTCTTACAGCCATCTCTTTATACTCTCTTCTCCAATACTGGTGAGTACAAAATATGAACCCCGGATCCATTCACTTGATTTGCTAAGTTTGTTTCTTACAATGTCTATGTATTCTATCGTTCATCTTGTAGGTTTTGTGTAGTGCGGTCCTCCTACACTTACTATTAGTACTGAAAGGTCCTATGTTATAGGGAGTAATCTGCCATATTTATTTAGCGAGGAAACATAATCGTCTTGGTTCGACACTTTTTTTTTTATATAAAGCAATGTATTAAACCCTGGTATTTTATAAACATATCCAGACCACCAGACCACCTTTTATCTAGTTGTTCCTCCTACCGTATTTGCATATCGATTTTCGTTGATACTGGGTTTTGGTGAATAGTCATGATTTTGAAGCCATATATATATTGTCTTTTGTACATACATAGCCCTTAGGACGTCGTAAGGCCGAAAGATCTTGGCAAATATGTAAATGTAATTAAAATACAGATTTTTCCATCCAAATCTTAGTATGTTTGGTATATAAACCTGAGAGTTAAATTTAGAAACTTATATATATGTGTGGCCTTATTTGCGCTAGCCCTGGTCAGTTATCTCCCCTTGTATTTACTTCAGGATAACAGACGAATCTATAAGATGGTTGGTAGCCAACAACAGATTAGAAGAAACGGTTAAAGTTATCAAGAAAGCGGCCAAGATGAACGGTGTTAATGATAACGAACCATTGAAGGTAACTTGTTTTAAACATGATTTCTAACCAGCTAGCAACAGAAGTGATTACATGAATTGTATCGAACATTCGAATAGCATCGAAATGGTCTCTCGCATTCGTATACACCAATCTTAAATAAGGTGCGTAGACACCTGTCAAATCATCTCCCCGCTTGTCAGAGGTATGACTTATAGCGGGAATTATTTGAATGTCATCCTAATATTCAGTTCAGTTCGATCAGCATATTCTCTTTCGTGGGGTTTAACATATGGCCAGAGAAAAGAAAATCACCGTACATATATATTAACCTCAAACTGACCGATTAGACATGACATCCAGCTTCCCGGTTTTAATGATACAGGTAAAATTGGATTCATTCCCTTTAACTCTGTGATTGTTACCACCCCAACCTTTGGTCCAACATCGATCTATTTGTTTAAATATCAACACGATCCTAATTTACACCATCCTACTTGCACTTCCTTTCTGTTCTTTTCCAGTTGATCTACAAACAAGAGTTGTTGTCGATTTCTGAGAAGCAAACAGATAAATTACTGGCTGTAACACTAGATTCTGGCAAGGAAATTATGGAGGAGACTGTAGTTATCCATCCTGAAAAATACACAATTTTAGATATATTTAAGAGAAAACGTCTGGCAGTAACTCTGATTATAATATGGTTCACCTGGTAAGTATAATACATCCAAATGAGCTCCAGGAGCTCAAGCCTTAATATTATTTAGATAATATATTTCTTGGGAAATACAGCTAAATCTGTATCAATCTAGTATAAAAGTTTGAAATTGTTAACATGTAAATCGCTAGTAGTATTAAAGGTTTACATATGGTAAGCATCAGTTCTTATTTACACAGCATTAGGGGGTTCTCCTGTTGAATTGAGTGGGAAACACCTTTCAGTGCAAAGTACAACAATAGTGATATTACGTATTCTACAAGGATTTGTCCATCACTCACCGCTTGATAGAAAGTATATCCGGTTCCCGGGGTAACCAGTGGAATCTCCAGTCCATCCATGCTATAAGTTTTGTTCACCCTTCCGATTCCTCTTTCATTATTACAGGTTTACAAATAGTTTAACATATTTTGGTATATATTTGTCATCTTCATCTCTAGCTGGAAATATATATCTTAATTTCTTCCTTAATGCTCTGGTAGAAGCACCCGCAGCACTTATATACTGGTTTACTATTGACAGGTAGGGTACTTACAGAAACATTTATTACATTAGAGCTATATGCTAAAATACAGATGTTTCAACGAAACGTGTCTCGTTAGACAATAAACGGAAGAGTCGGTAAGAAGAATTGATCATCACGATTACAGATACCATATCAGTTCAAATATTAGGACTACCTTCCCAGCCCCTAATACATTTTGGGCTGTAGAGTAAGCAAAACACACAATCTTACAACTTGTTTCAAATGTTGTTGTAACCCATTTGTACCAGGACCCGACGATTTATTGTTTCCTAGACACTTTAATGGTATTAGGTTACAGTTCGTTTAATTAAAAAAAGTCTTTTAATTATTTTGCCTTGCGGCTTGGGGTAGTCTTTGAATGTAATGTGTGTATGCTTGTAAACTGCAAACTCTCTCATTAAAGTTATGTACAGATAAGCTTTAATCTAACTCCTGTAAAAGTAATTATGGCAAAATTGCATCATTGATTAATGGGGATAACTTTCTAAACTGAATGTCATACGGTCAATTCCCAAAACGTTATTTCATTAGACGTCCCACTGACAACCGCGTCTTCCTTGTATTCTTCTGAATATACTATATATTTTCATATGGTGGGCGATGTTTTGTTTGGTAGATATTTCTAAAGACAAAATCTACAAAGCTTACATGGAATTTTTTTAAATCTAAACATGGTAGCCTATAGTATTCTAGCGTGGTTTCGACATTTTTTCAGTATTGGAAGAAAGAAGACCTGTATAATATTCCATGTTATTGCCACATTCGGTCTAATATCAGCTACTATACTGAAGGTGTATGGTACGTTCTGATTTTGATTTCTAATAATTTAAAGTGTTAGTTATATCTAGCATCTACATTCAATAAATTCGATGTTTTATTTAAAATTGTGAAACACATTCACTTAATGTAATGACTAACGAAACAGGTTAAATGAGAAATAAACAGTGGCGTAGGCAAATGGAACGGAGTAGTGTTCTCAGACCTCCTCCCTCCTGCACCAGGATCTTCCCTCGAGTATACACGCTGCTCCAAATGAAACCAAAGTAATAAAATTGCCATTGCAAGTATTCGAAGTTTCGTGAACCCATTAGACCGGTGAGTGAAGTATATGTGTTAACCATATGACGAAACGAACTGAAATGAAATGGAGTTTTACTTCCTGCATTTCTGCTCCGACTAGACTAATGAAGACGGGTATACGCCATACAGTGTACTATGAAGGAATTTTTTACGGACAGCGGCGTGTATTTATTAATTTATCATTTTATTTTAGCCAATGATAACGAGTCTGTGTCTACTGCTGCCACGGTTTTTGCTTTGATTGGTAAACTGGGTATTAGTGGTTCATTTAATGTTTTATTCACCTACACACCGGAAATCTTTCCAACCAATATCAGGTACGATTTATCCTAGGGTCTCATGTATAAAACAATTGAAGATTTGTACTTTTACCTAAAGGAATATTATATATTTATATCACTAAAATTCGGCAACGGGACATGTAACAGTGGGTATCAATTTGATTTAGCGGTAAAGTTATTGTAATATAAATTTTCAGGAACATAGCGTTTGGAACATCGTGTACGTCTGGTAGAATTGCAGGAATGTTAGCACCATTCTCCAGTCTTTTGGTAGGTTTCACATACACAGTATAATGGAGTAGTTAGATCGTAATGTAGTACATGTATACCAATCACACAAGCCCGGTTATAAGGAAATAATAATTATGATCTTGATGTTTTAGGAGAAAACTCCACGCCGTTGGACGAGCGACCCTACATTTAACCCCACCACTTGTCTCAATGACAGACCGTATGATCTAAAAAGCACACGTTAAGCACACGTCCATGGTTATGATCACTGTGGAGTGCATGATGATATAAATCCCACATACAAGCGGCATTTTAAAGGGTGACTTTTAATTTTTGGCGGTCAGGAACATCGTGTGGGCAACTCTGAATTTCGATATCCTCTCCATGCATTGCTATGTTTTTATTAACTATAGAATTAATAAACACACGTGAATGTACGGTCGACCTTATACAAGCTTTGGAACGAAACACGGCGTGATATTGTTCCGTCTGTGGTGGGAACCGTTCTTACAAACGATAGCTAGAATTAACAGTAAACTCAATGTAAGAATATTTGTTGGTCTGTATCCATATACTATCTTATTCTTACCTCCCTTTGGAACATTTTTTTACTTCAGCTTTGCCAATCTGTTTCACAGAGGATTACGAAAGTATTCTAATATCTCTGTAAAAGATGAGTGCATTCAACATGTGGCGTCAAAGCACGTGGCGTCAATCACAGCCTCAATGGCGCGTGCATTGTTAACATAAGACGTTACTGCTTCGGGCAGAATGCTGCCTTTTAATCATTTTAATACCCATTTATACTAAATAGGAAATAATATTTTACCTACAAATATGTCAAACGTCTTTATTTATTTTTCTAATACATAATTATTTTTTTTAGAACTTGATTTGTCGTTGGAAAAAAGTTAATATTTGAGGCTCATTAAGTCGCATTGGTGTCATCCTTATCAGTGATTGTAGCGGCCTAGCGAATATTCACTGCTTTGCCACAGCCTACATTGTCTTTAACGGTCCCAGTTACAGATAGCTAGACTAAAATATAGTGATAATTTTTGCGATAGAACATACAAACGTGTGGCTACATGATCTTTAAGTGTCATTTAGCGATTAAGAGACACCTTAAGAGTCATTCCACGAGAAAACCATGCAGAAGGTGGGAAATAGGGGTCGGCAGATCAAGTTCATCTCGGGGGGATTTTATGGACTCCTCAAGACTACTTCACCGCCAGGAGGGCCGATCTCAAAATTTCACCTTTATTGAGAAACAGCCTCTTGGTGATTTTTGGCCAATTTTGCCATTTTTCAGGTCATTTTTGGTCAATTTTTAGTCACCTATTGTAGCGAGTCTAGGGTTTGGGTGGAAATGGTGGTGATTGGTGGTGTTAGTTGGGGTCTTCCTGTGCCCCAGTATGAAGACCATAAAGTCGCATCTATTCTCTGGGAGTAATGATTAGCAAAATTGTAACATATGGCGACTAAAACCGAAAATATACACCTGCGAAAATTAGCTCTATTTTCTATGATGCGGGGGTAGGTCAAAATATCGAAATGGTTTTATGCACAGCTCCACACACTCTATATATCGATATAAAAAATAAAATCTCTGTCACCCCTCTTTAATCAATACGAAATAATAAGTCAAAGTTGGTGAATTTTCCCTATTGTAATCTTTCATTCTCTATGAAATGGCCAACTACTTTCATTCAGGGTAAGCCACATATGAGCAATGAAATGACTTAATAGATTGAAAGAGTATACTAAGGACATTAAGGCCCGTCCTTTAGCACATTACATAGCAATAAGTGAATTGAGAGCCGAATGGGAGCTGATTTCTAGACGAAGTGGGATTTTTGATCTTGATACGTCGATTCTAGATGGAAAGGTGACATGTGCTGCCCATCGCTACCGCCTGGGTCTCAAATGGAATATTCCAAAAGGATGTAAACAATATGCTGCCAATAATGAGGAAATGAGCTGCCAAATGAGCCAAGTTCCTACACCACCTCAGGTTAGTTCTTCAAATAAATAATATGACGTAGGGTCAAAAATTAAACTTCATCATGGGATCATTTTCAGAGCCCAAAATAAATCTCGCCATGGTCTTTAAAACTAAATTTGTATATGAAGGACATTTCTATCAGGAGCCACCTCTCAAAATATTGTTGATATCAACCCCAACGTATATGGGCCATTGAAAATGTTCTTGCATCGAGTCTCCGAATGATGGACTGGCTGGTAACAGGGACCCCTGCAAATACTTAGAAAATAATTTTAGTAAATTATTTTATGTGGTTTGGATGTTTCAGGTTACTGTTGGAACTGATGACATCCCTCCCACTGCTACATCATCTGCAGCTACATCCATCATCAATCTACTGCTACAACATCATTTGCAGCTATGGGTATTGGAACTGCCACGCTGCCTCTTCCTTCTGTAACAGCTATTGGTAGCGACACCAGTAACAGTAATGACTTAGAACTACCAATAATAGGCCTAGATCAGGTAATGATGATTACATGCAAAACCTTTAGGAAGGTTGCTAAGAATTCGCTGAAACCCTACATCAAAACAAATCAGAATTAGAATACTGGGATTGCTTCAAGATTCGCATGTAATCATTACCTGACCTAGGCCTATTATTGGTAGTCATTACTGTCACTGGTGTCGCTACCAATAGCTGTTACATAAGGAAGAGGCAGCGTGGCAGTTGCAATACCCATAGCTGCAGATAATGTAGTAGCAGTAGATTGATGATGGGTGTATGCAGCACTACCAGTAGCTGCAGATGATGTAGCAGTGGGAGAGATGTCACCAGTTCCAACAAATAATTAACTAAACTTATTTTCTAATGTACTATTTGCAGGGGGCAACATTTGTAAAATTTTCTGAAACTGTTCCCAGTCAATCCATCATCCGGAGACTCGATACAAGAGATTTTTCAATCGCCCATATACGTTGGGGTTGATATTAAGAATATTTTCAATCTGATTAAAACACAGATCCTACTTCGTTTCGTTTTTATAGTTCAAAATTTCGTTTTACTTGTCTTTACTACACTAGGATCGGAAAGAGTTGTTATCATTGACGTGTTCTTAATAGTGTGAGGTATTAGCCAATGAAACGGTTTGTTACGGCGAGCTTTAGGCATGTTTTGCAGGGAACTGTGGGAAAGCCCCTAGAAGCACTAATGCTGATTGGTTATTCAAATGTCTGACGTCATAGGCTCACTTGCCTCTCGTATGACCTCTGACGTGACCTATCGCAACAACCAGTCAGATCTCCATGTAGTGTAGGTCATCAAAAGTATAGAAAAACGAAACGAAATACAGATCTGTATTTTAATCAGATTGGAATATTTTGAGAGGTGGTCCCTCATAGAAATGTCCTTCATGTACAAATTCAGTTTTAAAAGGCCCAGCAAGATCCATTTTGGACCCCGAAAATGATCATATGATGAAGTTGAATTTTTTACCCTATGCCATTTAGTAAAGGTATTACAGCTATAGCAGACTCAATGCAGCTGGTTTGAGGACTTAAGCCCATCGCACAACTCAGTCAACTGGAGTATCACCGCACAACTGTTTTCTGCTAATTTAATTGTGGTCAAGCACACACACAAGTTTTCCATCGATATTTCAAAGACACAATTTCTTCCCTCTTTTTTCAATAATATTTTATTTCACTTAGCCGTTCCAATAGGAATAAGTTGATTCCAAGTGACACAACGCGGTCTTTGTATGGCTTCTCCTTAGATGTGGCAGCATGCATCCTTTTGGAATATTCCATTTAATGCAGCTTCGTCAAGAAATCAGCTCCCATTCGGTTCTCACATCACTTATTTCTATGTGATGTGCTAAAAGGTGGACCTTAATGCCCTTGGTACATTTTTTCAATCGTATGAAGTGATTCTCTTGGTCATATCTGGGATATGTACCACATTTAATGGCCAAACATGAGGAAAAACCGCAGTTTTTTGCGCTTTCGGGCACGACCATCTTGGATTGGATACCAAGCCTCATCAAAGAGACTAGTTTTGCTCGAGGGGGTTTCAAGCTGCTATCAGTGAGCGCGGGCAAATGATTTGGTGAAGAAATGGAGAGAACTGGTTGACCCTGAATGAAAGTAGTTGGCCATTTCATAGAGAATGAGAAATTTACAATAGGGAAAATTCGCAAACTTTGACTTATGATTTCGCATTGATTGAAGAGAGGTGACAGAGATTTTATTTCTTATATCGATAGAGGGAGTCGGGCTGTGCATAAAACCATTTCGATATTATGACCTACCCCCGCATCATAGAAAATAGGGCTAATCTTCGCAGGTGTATATTTTCTGTTTTATTCACCATATCTTACAATTTTGCTGATCATTGCTCCCAGAGAATAGATGCGACTTCATGGTCTTCACACTGGGGCACAGGAAGACTCCCACTAACATCACCAATCACCACCATTTTCATCCAAACCCTAGACTCGCCATAATAGGTGGCTGAAAATTGACCAAAAATTACCCGAAAAATGGCAAAATTGGCCAAAAATCACCCAAAGGCTGTTTCTCAATAACGGTGAAATTTTGAAATCGGCCCTTCTGGCTGTGAAGTAGTCAGGGGGAGTCCATAAAATCCCCCGGAGATGAACTCGATCTGCCGACCCCCCATCTTCCCGATTCTGCATGATTTTGCATGGTTTTCTCATGGAATGACTCTTAATAGCGTGGCTACAGATATAACTGGGTAACCCTGTCATTTCCCTTCTACGTGAATTTTATTTTTAATAACCTGGGGCCTGTTTCACGAAATTTTAACTAAAGATAAAATCCAAATTTTAGTAGATACATCAATTTTGATTGGCTAAGCTCTAAAATCAATCTAATATTATGCAATCAAATTCCTAAAATTTGGATTTTATCTTAATTAAAATTTCGTGAAACAGGGCCCTGGTCCTGTCATCACTCACTGACATTGTTAACAATGGTTCGGTGAATAAGGCGCTGGTTCAGTAATCCGGAATTGGAACCCGGTGTTAGCCGAGAAAGTTCCTCGGGGTGTGGGTTAAAATGGTGCTGATGTCTTATGTTAAAGTATACTTATGAAATTTCAGGCTGTAAAGATACCATGGGCACCGGGAGCTATTTTTGGAGTTAGCTGTTTCTTTACGACCCTCTCCATTTTATACCTACCAGAAACGATGGGAAAGGAATTACCCCAAACCATGGATGATCTTAATAAACTTTATGATAAATAGATGGAAGGTTGATAATCTTAATCAACTTTATGATAAATAGGGGGAAGGTTGATAATCTTAATCAACTTTATGATAAATAGGGGGAAGGTTGATAATCTTAATCAACTTTATGATAAATAGGGGGAAGGTTGATAATCTTAATCAACTTTATGATAAATAGGGGGAAGGTTGATAATCTTAATCAACTTTATGATAAATAGGGGGAAGGTTGATAATCTTAATCAACTTTATGATAAATAGGAGGAAGGTTGATAATCTTAATTAACTTTATGATAAATTGTCAGGCAATGCGTCTTTATAAGTGTTATGATAAATGTATATCGTCTTAATGTACTTTAAAAGCAAATCATGGCCGTGTCGTCGGGCGATGTGTCATTTAAATACTGTTTATAAACAGTCTCACCTTCGACGATCCTGTTAAACTTTTTGATAAATAATCACACTATCCACGATCCTGCTAAACTTTATGATAAATAGTCACACCATCTACGACCATCCTCGATCCTGTTAAACTGTGTAATAAATAGTCACACTGCAATCCACGATCCTGTTAAACTTTATGATAAATAGTCGCCCCATCCATGAATCTGTTAAACTTTATGATAAACAGTTGCACCACCACCGAACTGTTTGATAAACTAATAGTCATTCCTTCGACGAATCTGTTAAACGTTATAATGACAAATAGTCGCATCAGTCTGTAAATTTGGCGTATTTCACAGGAAATGTTTCAACATGCAAATGCTATTCACCGGCCCAGTCAATTTTCTGCGACCTTTGATCCTATCTATGTGTCTTTAAAGGTAAAAAAATATGCACTTTCGCCAAAACCATCGAATTATTTCATTATATTAAATTTTTGTGGTGGAAACTGTATTGTTAGAAAGTGCAATGACCCCGGAGAACAGACAAGTAAACATTGATGTCGAGAAAATTGAAAACAAAGGGATAAGGGTGTAAAATCTGAATCTACCACGCGTATTGGCACGTGGTCATTTGTGAAATTTAAAATATGTATTTGATATATACAGTTATTGAAATGGCATATTATTTGGCACGTCAGGATCTTTCTGAAGGGAGACAACTCTATAAAAGCCAAAAGGAATTAGACCACCATTAATTTCCTCATCAACTTAAATGTTAATTCTGGTCTCCTTGCCGGGCTCCAACTGATTTCCAAATATTAATTTGGTCGTGCACTTTTAACCACGGGTCTTGTCTCTGCTCTAAATTGTATGAGATTGACCTGTGAAATTATGAGATACTGCACTAACTTGACGTCGTAACCAACCTCATGTTATCCTTCCGCGTTTAAACTGGTCATGAATATTTCAAACCCACTTCTCTGATTCTAGATAAAAAATTCTATAAAAATGGCCATGCGAAATGGGAATGATAGAGAAATGTTATTATTAGGAAGAACAGCTTGATGCAATTTCATGGTGGTCTGTCTCCAAAACAAGCGAATGTGGTCTAAGCTCTAAGCTCGTGTTTATAGAGAACTTACAATACTATAAAGCCATAATTTCGAGAATTGGACTCAGGGCCGTATCTAGCGGGGGTGCAGGGGGGTACATTGCACCCCTAGAAAAATATAACCTTTCAATCATAAAATAATACACTTGATTATGATCACACGGTGATGCTCTTAAGGTCTTTTTTTAAGGGCGCCCACATTCCAAAGGGTAACTTGGGCAATATTTTGGCGCCCTACCACTCTGCTGCACCCCCACTTTTAAAATCCTACATACGGCCCTGATTGGACGTTAAAACCATTTCACCCCTTCTGTCCCTAAGAAATAATATTTAAAAAGAGTTTTTGATTGAGCATTCAAACTGAAAAAAAACAATCCGAATGCCTCTCACCGATCAGCTGTATCTGAAAACAACAGACGCGGAATAATCAAGTAAGCGATGTTATAACAGAAATCAAATGATAATGTATTGCAATGCAATTATGAAATTGTCGAGCTTTATAATAGCTAGAATGCAAATTGGCTTGTCCCTAGATATTAGTCTGCCATACTACCCTAGGTGGAAACTTACTTTTACCATTAGGCTACCGGTATTGATAGTAATAGTGTAGCAGTAGCATTAATAATCGTGGTGAAATGAATTGGGGTTTAACGTCGTACTGTTCGGCTCCGACTGGGCTACTCAAGACGGGCATACGCCATACAGTGTGCTATGAGGGAAACTTTGTCGGGACAGCGGCGCTACGGCCTACTCTTATATCGAATTCCAACGGCTAAGGGATCTTTAAGTGCACTCCAATGTGTACACGGGACCTCGTTTTTTCGTCCCACCCGAACGACTAAACAGCTGTCCTTGTCAGGCCCTCCGTCCTGTACCACTGACAAGGAGAAACCACGCCGGAAGGTCCCGATGAACTTTCTCGGCCAACACTGGGATCGAACCCGCGTCCACCGGGCTAGCGAGCCACCGTCTTACTCATTTAGCCACCGAGGCTCCAATAGTCGTGGCAGTCCTTATATTATGCAGAATTTTGAGACTAACACACGTTTCTTGGAGAAGTAGTAGTAGGAGCAGGAGGATATTAGAGTGTCATAATATGTTTCTTGGAGTATACTCCCAGCCCCCCCCCCACCTCTTTTTCTTCACCTCGCGCCTACAACCATATAACGGGAAAGTGTAATAATTTTTTTTTCTTTGAATAAATTTGTTTATGGATTCTTGGAACGCCCCTCCCAATCGCCATCACATGCGAATACTCGGATCCAGAAGCATTTGCCCCGGTTCTCCCCCTGAGAAAATCATCTCTATCTAAAGAGTGTCGGAATAGGGAGGTCGACCAAATATTAGAGTCAAACTCAACATGTAGGCTACCATGCTTACAGTATAGTGGTTGTCAAATGCTACAATACAATGGAGGATTATACACATCTGTGCATTTCAATAATTTCATCCCTTAAAAAATTAATTGCAAAGCATAAATGCGACAATATGTATTATCAAAAGAACCGTGGTAAACATTGTGTTTAATGGAATGCGCCAGTACTTGGGTTATTTAAATCATTTGAGCCACGTAGAATAATAAAGAGAACTGATAAAGATTGCCATTATTCTACATATCAGAATCCCCGGGTTAAGCATGATCAGTTTGTTAACACCGTTAGATTTGCAGTGATTATAGACATATACAAAAGTACGCTGTGTTAAAATCGATAGTTGTAACCTTTAAAACTAGGGCTTATACGTGTACTACAAAGGAATACAAGATTGATTTCATATAAAACACGGATTTTAAGTACCAAACTTCGTGAGTCAACGTTTGTAAAATTAATTGATTTTAGAATAAATATACAGTAGCCTATATTCATTTTTTTGAAAAGATCATCAGATAATTTCGTTTGAAGATAAGGGTAGGCCTAATCATAATCAAACAGTTCTAACATGGAGGTACCATTAGGATTCGTGGCGCACATTTCTATTAATTATGCTTTTATCAGCTGAACTATATCCGGATTTTTCTGTGATTTATCTCTTGCTATCTGTCCTGACAATTCATGTTTACAACAAAGTGGGTCGACGCCGGTGATTTGTTAGTGATCTCGATCATTCCAGTCTATATTCCATTGGCTTCGACAACAACGCATATTCTTTGCATTCGAACGTCAAATTGTTCACAGCGCATAACAGATTTAGAGCTGGTAGTTCAAAAATAGATAATGAAAAAATAATATATTGAAAATTACTTTATTCCGAACGAAGTTATGAGTGTTGGGGTTTTGACATTAATAGTACGAATGTCAAGTACCATTGCTACTATAATAAACACGTTAAATTATTATATGGCGTTGGTGTTATAATCCATTGAATATCTCGGTCATTCGGTGGTCTAGAGGACTGATCATGGGCTTGTCACGTGAATACATGTCTTATATAATTACCTACGCATATAAAATAGAGCATAAGATAAGATTAATCTGTTTGAATAACGTCAAGACTTTTAAGACAGCATAAATTATTGGCCTGTAGACATATCGAAGCAGTTGATCTGGTTCAGCTAAAAGTGCATAAAGATCTAATTCTGTTTATTGCGGATCTGGTCCCGGTTTCACAAAAAATTCTTACACTTAAGTTAAGAGTTTACTCAATTTTCTTCCGGCGTGGTTTCCCCTTGTCAGTGATGCAGGACGGAGGGCCTGACAAGGACAGCTGTCTAGTCCTTCGGATGAGACGGAAAACCGAGGTCCCGTGTAAACATTGGAATGCACGTAAAAGATCCCTTGGCAGTTGGAATTCGATATAAGAGTAGGCGATAGTGCCGCTGCCCGGGCAAAATTTCCCTCATAGCACACTGTATGGCGTATGCCCGTCTTCATTAGCCCAGTATAGGAGCAGAACAGTAGGAAGTTTAACCCCATTTCATTTCATTTCATTTACTCAACTTTCAATCACTGTTTATTAGAAATATATTTGATCCAGAAACACAAAAATTTGCACATGGTTTCTTATTGACGTATTTGATGCATTAAAACAAAAGAAGTTTTATAAAACGCTATATTTTAGTTAAAATAAGGCGAACAATTTTGAGTAAATTCTTAACTTCAGCTTGGGAATGTTTTGTGAAACCGGGACCTGGCTTCAAATGTTGCGTAAATAATTGTTTAGCCATTTATTCACATGCCAAGTCCGTAATCAGCTTTTTAGGCCATCATGCAGTTCAACTATTGAGTGAATTAGACAACGTCTTTCATATCTACGTTAGATTGAAAATTGAGAATTCGTTTATTATCCAAGCAATTGCATTTGCCAATCATCTACGATTGCATCTCGTCAAAACAAAGGATTCATTACTTGGCCCAGAATAAAGTAATTTGACTGAAATTTCAATAATTATTAATTTTTCATTATGTATTTTTACACGGGTGTAGAATAAAGACGACCTCTTCATCTAAAAATAAACTCTCCGATATAAGCTGTAAATAGCCATCATGTGTTTTACTCAAAGCAAAGATTAGACATGAACTAAATTAAGTTATACGGGTTGATAATGATATTGCTACTTTATGTCGCGATGCAGGCATTAAAACACAAAAACTATTTTACCACGTATGTGCTGCTCGATAACCCCTCTCACCCCCCCCCCCCGATTTGACGGTAATCCTTTTTTGTTTTATCAAATTGGTGATTTCTGAATTTATTCCAGGACAATCATACGGCCTCGTCATTTGATTAATCTTACAAATCATAGTTTCGGGCTGGGGATAGAGACTCCAGGGGCAGATCTTTATGTAGTGGAGGTTATCGAAAGTATAAAAAAGCCAAACCAAACATAGATCTGTATTTTAATCAGATTCAGTGTGTAGCTCATCCAAAATGATCTATAAAGAAAGCAATTGTTATAGATATGCATATTTTACACACTCTATCCAAAATATTAATGATTTCATATAAAGTTGCAATTGACACCAATCTGATTCAAATACAGATCTATATTTCGTTTCGTTTTTTTTTATACTTTCGATGGCCTGCACTACATGAAGAGACAAGTAAAACGAAATTTTGAACTATAAGTAAGTAAGTAAGTAAATTTATTGCATAAAAACGCCCACGAGGAGCAGCATACAATTACAAAAATTACATAAATACAATACAACAAATATACATGTAACAAATAAACGAACATTAATACAATGCAACAAATATACATGTAACAAATAACGAACGTAATATGTATATAAAGTTAGAAATCAATTAAATAAAGACGAAATGAAATAGGATCTGTATTGACATGCACAATTATGGATAATTGAAATTTTGATGCAGCGACAAAATGCTAACAAAATACTGCACAATTTAAATTTTATAAATATTGTATTAACGACTTCGATCTTTCGTGGATTGGAATTTAGATGTTATTCTTTTAAGATGGGGTGGGGGTAGGTTAGTACGCCGTGTTTTTCAGTAACCAGATCGTCCACATATTATATTCCTATAAAGTCAAAATATGTACTATTCTAATTAATGTAAAGACTAGTTTTATTATGCAATTAAGTACACCCGAGAATCAAATATCAGGTACAAAGAGGATAGCAAAATTATCATTACAAAAGATATAAAGATGAATACCAATGATATCAATGAATACCAAATTTAAAATGGCGATTTTAGTTGGAATTTAACGATTTTAATTATTTTTGGACCAAACTCTTTTAAAATATAATATGTAGACCTGCTTTCGATTGTGTATAGTCTTAATATCTATACCCAATGTTTATTTTAAAATGTGGGGGCTTAAAAAAAAACAAAAACAACCCAAAAACAGTTTGTAAATTATATATTTTTTCTTTCTTTTTATATAATTCTTAATTAGTCCTTATAATAATGGCAAATAAAATCATAATTATTTCTCGCAGGAAAAGTATTGTCAACCTTTTGAACTAAAAATATACTGAATGTTTAATATTCAGCTTGACAAAAATATCCGGACAAAAAGTAGCGCGTTTCAAAGTGTCACGTATATCTAAGTGTGCTTTAGAAATTGGCATACACATTTATGACATTAAAAAAAAAGTTGAGTCAGCAAGATTATATACAAATACAAAAGCAACGAATTAATTTCTCCGACTTATAGAAAATATAATTGTGAGCGTTGTGTGATAGTAATGTTCGATTTGTCGCGTGAAGGCCGATTAAACCTTAAGAAATAATACCGTTATACACAATATTGATCGTTTCTCTACTGTCTGTATATATGTTACTATAAATAGCACACATCTTAAATACTACAGTTGATATTTCATACTTTTATGTAGGTTAATTTCACGAGCTTGTATGTATTATTAGTACACAGATTTGGTAACTTCAATAAACCTTATAATAGCGCGTGCGAAAGATTAAGTAATCGCTAGAGAGAATGTGTTACGTCCATGCGTTAATAGCGGTTAAATTTATCTAACCACGCAGAGGGGTCATTTAACGGTTTCAAGTTTAGGTAGATACCTCGCACGTGATGTGACCCCAAATAACTGCGATGACCTGTAGCGTGCCACCTAGCGGAAGAATTTCACGTACCTGCTCGTAAGGCATGCTGGACTATCTGTGACGTCACGCTGTGTATATCCTTGCATTCGAATATTGTGAGACGGGGTCGAGTTAAGAACTTCAAGGCTGCCCTAGTTTTTATTTGTTTATTTACTTGTTTTTATGATTTTCCCAGTGAGGAAGTATGACGGATTAATTGTTGAATGTTGTGATCTAGCGGAATAGCTGTTTAAAGTCCGCAACATGTTGAAGTGCATACCTTTATTTCGTGCCTGTAATCGGCAAGTTGAATACATAGATCGACGACATTTCGGACTGACAACCATTCCAGACGATGTTTTACGCTACGCCAGAAGTCTGGAAGAACTTTTACTCGATTCCAACCAAATCAGAGATCTTCCAAGGGTGAGTATCATTCGTCAATGCACAATATTTTGTCTTATCAAACACCATATTTGGATGGTAAACACAGACGATTTTATTACGGACCGGTCTGTTTTTTCTTTTCGCAGGGATTTTTTCGTCTCGTTCAGCTGAAGAAAATTGGACTGAGCGACAATGAAATCGGCCGAATTCCACCCGATGTGGGAGTCTTCATCAACCTTATGGAGCTGGACGTCAGTAAGAATGGTAAGTTAAAAGTTTTGGGTGTTTATTTACGTTTTATTTGCTGTCTGTCCCAACTTCCGATTCGGGACACGAAGGCGGCCATGTTGGATGGGAAGCGAAGTGTGTGATGATAGAAAATGGGCGTGTACCTTATGAAAGTGATAGAATGTCGGATCATATGTTTTGACCGTAGAAGAGGTTTCCCGAATACAATTACCGAAGCCATGGATTACTAATCCTGGCTTGTCTGATCTGAATTGAAATAGATAGATGAACACTATAGTATAGTCGGACTGTCACGATGGAAATAAACAAGTGCCCGTGTTTATTACATGTATCTGACTTATATTTTCAGTTTAAAATCTATGAGTATGACATATAAAATGGGTTTGGCTACAATGACTGTATGTGTGACCTGTATATATTACTAATATACACTATGAGAGATGTATATTGAGGATGCCTCATCACAATACACATTTTGAATGAAATTAATTTTCTTATACCGGTATTAATGTTTAAAATGATTGGAGAATTTGTTCAAAATTTTTATTTAACACTACACCAGAAAAAGTTGTTCCTGGCAAAATAGAAGTCACTAATGAACCAGGACCTGATATTTTGAAAATAGAGGGTATGCACACATACCTGACAATGTCTTTGACATCATGTGCCTTACATTGTATGTCCCTGTACAGTTAGAAGGATATAGTCATAACAGTCTTAAACCTTAACGGCCAAAATTACCTTTGGTCATAATGGCCATGATGTGATCATAACAGCCATAATTTGGCCAAAACGGCCAATATATATTAAAGTAGCTAAGTCTCGTACTCAATATCGTCCAAAATCTTCGACATTGAAAACACGAATTATTTGTCGGTTTAAATCAACATTGATGTTGTGATCTTACTGGGAAAAGATGGCCTTCTGATATCGTGTACCATAATGCGTTTCAGCGCTATTTGTAATAAGGGATTCGAAAAATGAGGCTAGGCATATTCCACAAGTCATGTCAAACGGTGACGCTATATTCTTATCTGGAGAGCATGCACAATAAATGCTATTGGCATAGACTGGAATAACCAGACACTAGAGATTGCCATTCGATTGAGACTGGCATATTAACTGATTAGAAATTACAGTTAAAACAAACGGTTGAATGTAAACCAATTTATATACATTCATATTTCATTATTGTATGCATTGCGACCCATTTGTGTCAATTTCTAGGTCCAAAATATTAGCGATTTAGCTCCTTTAATATTACAAAAACAATACATTTTACAAAACCTGAATTTTTCTTTAATAAAAATACATAGATCTACTGACTTTATTATTCATTTGATAAAAATAACAACAGGTTTTCAACTAATCAACCCAGAAAATTGCATGTGGATTTTCAAAGGATGGAGTTAAGTACTAATTAATCTATTGAATGGTTAATCTCTATAAGTACCTCACACTACTAAGCAATTACTGATTATGTACTATGAGCTGAACTTTTGTTGATAACTTAATCATAAATTAAAAGGTTTAATTGGTATTGAAAATTGAAGACAGAGGAGAGAGAAGTTCTCTATGTTAAAGTTAATGGATATCTTTTTCTTTTCTTCAAAGCTATTTGTAGACATTGCTCTATGTTAAATTTATGTAAATAAATAAATATCATTGGGAATAGGTTGATGATGGTGAATAACAAATATTATTCGAGCCATTTTGAATTTTGTTTGGCTGTTTAAATGACCAATTAAATTAATTGGGTACCGTACAGTGGTATACTGTATTGTATCCTGTTAAAATTTGATGTTCCTCTGTAGTGCCATTGTTGGCCTTTTGATGACTACATGTACATGTATATATATGTATAGTCAGCTTTTAAGTCGAAAATACTAACCTGTCTTCATTATTTGAATGAGTATAGTCAGAATTTGAAGTCAAAAATGATAATCTGTCTTTATTGAAATTTTTACATTTTATAAACAGTTGTAATGGAAGTTTACATGTAAATCCCAGCATTGAGATACTTATGTACACGTACATGTAAATTGAATTTGTGTCCACTACCAACCCATTAAGCCAGAATGGAAAATTTAAACTAAATGTGTAAAATAAGTCAATTCTTTAAATATTATAATACATTGTATATACATGTAGGAATGTCAGAGGAATAAATAAATATGAAATACATATGTTTAAGAATTCTGACATTGTTTCCTAATATACTTGTCATTGCACTTGTACATATGTGTGTAATTTTACATGTCTGACAGTGACAGTCGGTACATGTACATAAATAAAATAAAACCAAGTACGAACAATCCAAACCATAAGACAGAATTCGAAGTCCTAAAAAATGTTGTGGGCAAAATAGTGTATTCAAGCAAAATAGTGTAATCAGCAAATGGACTGCTCCTCGTGTACAAAATACACGACAAACAGTGGTAACAGGTGTCCGGAAGAGTAAGCTTACCCTGTCTGGTGCCACACCCGTCATAGCTGCATCCAAACTATTAGGCGAAATGTCAGTAAAATAGCGCATACAGTTTTATTGTGCTTCAAGTACTGATGTACGGTTTGTGTTACATGCACATGTAATAATCTATGAAGTCAGCAAATTGTACGATATAAAATTCGAACGTACACTATGCATGTACATAATACAGACTACAGTGTGATTTTTCAAAACATTATATATAGAGTTCAGTGTACATATGTATGATAAATTGATAGATAGGGCCTACATGTACCATACATGTAGTTTTAAAAATGATAAATTATTTAATAAATTTAATCTTTGGATACATGTATAAATATAATTTACTACCAAACACTGTCTTTTTTTTGTGATATGATGTAGTCTGTCTCGAATAAATCACCATGGACATGTATGTTTGGCACAATATAGCCCGGTTGGAGCTGAAGTGCCATTAAACTTGAACATTTCATTGATTATAGTGAACACTGATCAGGAATTACATGTACTATTTCCATGTAATTACAGTATGCAACTACATGTACATATTTAATAACAGCATAAAAATCATTGTGTGTAAGCTCAACTCACTGCAATGTTACATACATGTACATATTTAGGTGATGAGGTACATGTATCAAATGTAATTGTGAGCTTCTGTGGCTCAATGAGTAAGACATTGACTCGCTTAGTTGGAGGTCCCATGTTCTATCCTGGTGTTGGTCGAGAAGGTTCATTGAGACTTTTCCCCGAAAAACTGAGTTCCCATTTAGACATTGGTGTGCACAACAAAGAACCCTTGGGAGTTGAAATTACATACATGTACATTTGTACATGTACATGTATACATGACATGTAAAACTAAGAGTAGGTCGTAATGCCCATGCCCGGGCAAGAATTTCCCTCATACTCATACATGTACATGTAGCACACTGTTAGGTGTAGGTCCTTCTTCATTATCCCAGTCAGAACATAACAGTAGGCTACTAGTAGGACGTTAAATTAAACCTCATTTCAAATAATTTTAATTATACAAATGTAATTAGAAAAACTTATTTATAATATATTATGTACTGTGAGAACATCAACATGTAATGGTACTTTTGTTACCATATCCATTGATATGGTTAAATTTTCATAACATAAACCAATTCCCAAATTCTCCTGAAAGCACGATATATTTTTGTTTACATTTTTGATTAAATTTATTTGGTTTAACAGTTAATCTTTAACTAACAATTTAAAAGATGGCAGAAAATGGAATGTCATAAGACATTTCTGCCACTGTTATTTCATACAATGTTACATGTAGAAAATAAATTGTGAGAGTGTAGTTGAATTTCTGTATCCCATTGTTCATTTTAATTGTGGAATTTATAGTACTGTCTGTTACACATATTTGTAAAGCTTGAATTTTTTGCTGTTGACTGGGTATATACCGTAATTACTGTTTATTCACCATTAATCATTATCAATATTATTAATGATAAATTTACCTCTAGGCCAGGTCTACATGTATATATATATATTTGTATTTTATTGTACCGTATACATCATTAATTAGCTGACCAATATACATGAGTAAGACTGAAGATATTTACAAACAATCAATGAAATTAATTATACGCATTTCATGGCCCTCACCCAACTAATGGACACATACATGTACAAAGCTTACATTAGATGTACATACCATATGTTGGTATAAAAAGATAATCTTGAGTAATTAAGTCAACTCTAAAATAGATAAGACTTTTGAAAATACAAAGGTTGTATGATTCAGAAATGTTTTTCAGAATTAATAAGTTTTTGAAATGGTCAAAAATTTGTATAAACTTAATGTCTGGGGTCGGCTTAAATTTCAATTGATACATGTACATCTAAGCTTACATACATTGTACATCAATCAATATAGATATTTTCTTCTTTTGCTTCATCCAGTTTTCCCTGATTTTTACATCACATTGTAATCTACATGTAGTTTACAACGAAATTATGTCACATTGATGTACATGTACGTACATGTATGTACATGTTGAACAGTAAAGAAATAAAACTTAAATTAATACTTTAGACTTTACATTTGATTTGTAATTTGTTATATTATAGATTCACATAAATAATATTTAAACCAGAGATATTAAATAGAAAGCATCTGAATAGGCTGATTGGTAGTAAATATATTCTCAGGTTCTTTTCTCAATAGAATAAGATCGCACATTTAAACTTTTTGTTGAATTGATTGAGATTCTACATGTACATGTACAATGTACATGTATAAAGTGTTATGTCACATGACACGGTCCTGTCTTCAACATTGAAGGGTCTTCAAGCTACATTTGTACCCTGTTTATGTCTATACCTTGACTTGTAAGTAAATTGATGATTTTAGTCTGGAAATAATACACTGTCAAACATACATGTATTGTAAGGCACAAATTCAGGCTTTGTCATACACAATTCCTCTGGTGCCTTCCATTTTGTCTGGCACACATAAATTTGTGATATTTCTGTGTTTTTAAATACCAGGTACATGTACTTAATG